TGAGCGTCATAAAAAAATTCAAATTTTCGAAAAAAAAATATTTCATTTTTTTTTTTTACATTTAATTTTTTAATGTTATTACTGCTCCATAAGCCTTAAAAGGTAGTCGGAACATTCAGGGCTTCGCCCTGATACGAGCAGTCTTGTTGTTTTTGCAATGAATTACAAATAGATGGCCTCAGAGAAGGTCGTCAAATGTAGCTCAGAAAATTAGAACCTTCGCTTACTTCGCAGAGTCTGTCAATCTCCAAAAAGGATTCGACGAGCTTTTCGTATTCCACAGAAATTGTTTTTGGTTCTTGGAAGGCGTTTCAAGGTACAAGAGAAGTCAAAATTCTTCATGAGAAGAATCCCCTTTAAAAATCAACATTTGCACCAAGATGAATAATTATCATGAGCATACAATTAACCTCTTAGGCGAAGTTATCATGCTAGAGTTATTTGATTTTTCATGCGTGAAATAAGTATATCCAAATTTTAATACCGTTTTAGGTATCATATCATTGTACTTATTGAAGTAAATCCAATCAAATTATTAACCTTCTCTAACAGAACAAAAGCTCGCTTTCTATTGGATCGAGATGTATGTACATTTATTACGACAAAAAAGTTATGACTTAGGCATTTGATGAAAGAGCTCTTTACCTAAGCCATAAAAAAATTAGAGCAATAACCTTAAGCTGCATTGATGAATAGACGAACAGAGAGTAATTAATGGTCAGGCAACGCTTAAAAAAGTGGGGGAGGTTATTATGCTATGAGGCCACTGCTATGGGATGGTACCGCAAATTAAGGGCCTGAATCTATTTTTAAAAAATTGAAAAAATGTTGAGAAAAAAAATCATTTTTGATTTCCGTTTTGTACCTTTTAGATTCTATCAATAACAACATTTGTCTGATGTTTATTCAAAGCCCAGTTGAAAAAAAGGGTACAAAACGGAAACCAAAAAGTTGTTGGTATTGATGTGATAATTGTGCATTCCATTGCTGGTAATTATAGAAATTCGGAAAAATAGTTATTCTCTCTTCGTGAGAATGCTTCTTCGACTTTATGCAACCTTAGAGCAAAAATTTAGAACTAATTTTCTAATAACTTGCAATGAAAAAGTTAGCTTGTTTCAATGATCACGAATTTCACTGTTTTGCGTATCACAAAACTACAAACATCTCATCCAATAGAAGCCGAAGTTTGTATATTTTGATAGAATTATAAACAATCTTTGAGTTTTTTACAGGAACAAATTTTTAAGAAGATTAGGAAGTAGCTAAATGCTCTCAACATATTATCATGGGTTTTAAATGGATTAATTAAGATTTTTTCTTAGATGCTCTGGTATATACTTTGAAGCCTGAGTTTGTAATTTTGAGCTAGCCCCTAGACCACGGTGAAGCCTTCGCCAACATTACTTAAATGTTTTTATATTTGAATTACGGTCTTCGGAAAAATCTCTGCTGCTGGCTCAAAAAATGGTTGAATTTCAGTTCAATTGTTAGGGATCGATCTATCAAGACTCCGCAGTTCATCAATGAAACATTCCATTCAATTTTCTTTTTGCCTTTTGGCCAGTTTTGTCATGTCTATAATTCATCAATTTAACCAGCACCTGCTTAATAGTTCATATATTGAACTGATACGCCTTTAATATTTCATCTAACGCAAAAAATATGAGCTGCCTCTAACGCAAAAAAATGAAGCTGCATTTTAAAAGGTGTCTTTTATTTATTATAAAAGGGGATCATTAAACTGAAAAATAAAGTTCTTGTTAAAAAACCCACCTCTGAAGCATTAGAAAAAAATCGATTATACCTTTCAACTAGTAAATGTTTTTCGTGACTACTTTTCGTAAAGCTGTGGGAGTTCAAAAATTGTTAATTTGGGAGTTTGAATGTTGGTAATTTGGACAATGTGTCCATATTGAATTGCCGCAAGTCATTTGGTCTCAATAATATGATTTGAGTCAATAAATGCATCCTTTTGTACTTTAAGCAGCAATTGGCGGAATAAATTTTAAAAAAGAAATACATATTTTTTCCAATTGTTTTACATATTTTCAACTAAAAACTTTTCAGGTGACTTTAAAGAGCAGTTGGATTTTTTAAGTACCATAAAGTGACAGTTGATGTTTTCATTTACGAAAACTTTTAAATATAAAAGTTTCATTTTCTTAAAGATGAACAAAACTGCTCGTTTATCCGGGCAAAGAACAGAATCTTCCGACTACACTATGAAGCTATTTGAAAATTTTTCCTCAAAAATTGACGAACCAATTGAAAAAAAAATTAATTCAATTTATCCCATACATGATCATGGAAAATGCAAAATGATGCATTATGCGTCTCGTAATTCAAAATTGGACCAAACAACTGGCCCCATTTTAATTTGGAACGCAATAATCTGCCGCTCACGCGTGTTCAAGGAAGCAATATGCACTATATCGACCGTAGTTTACCCGAAATTGGACAAGGTAGTTCAAAAATTTTAGAAAATGTTTTCAAGTCCCAATAACTTACAAAAATTGATCACAGACCAAACAACAAGATTTTTCATATAATATAATCGTAAAAACTGTCAGAACCTTCCTATTGTTTAAGAAACCGAAATTTGACTTAAAAAACCACCTCAAGCGTAGATAATCCGCTTTCTCTGCAGAAATTGGAACAATAAGAGTTTCGAGGAATTGAAGTTTCAATTGATTTAGAAATTGAGACCCGAAACATATTTTGATATTCCATTATATGATTAGAAAACTTATTTGTGCGTTAAAATCCTTTTTTCTCAAATTTTTGTTTAATAGGTTGACGACTAGAAGCTTTTTGTTTTTACAAACATCTCGGCGTCATAAACAATAAAATACTAGATATATAACTTTTGTACAAATTCACGCTTGTAGAAAACTGTATAAAAAAACTACGGTAAAATTGAACAACTTATGAAAATCGGATGATTGCCGTGATCACGAATTAGAAAAATTTTGTGTTCTGATTCACTGGCTGTTTGTTCCGACTAATGAAAATGAGGAGGAATTTTGTTTTCGGGTGTGTTTAGTTTTTAACTTTTCTTTTTTGTTTGTTTTTTTTTAACGCAAAATCAAGTACCCCAAACAATCATCGGACTAAAATGAGATAAACAAATCTTTTTCAGCTGTGATTCGAACCACATTAAAAAGTTTGCTTAGGTTTTTCCAAGTGTCGAGAAAAACCGGTTTGAAATTTTAGATTCTCCAGTTTATTCCCGAGTCTATTTTTGAGCGAGTAAAGCGAGCGAGCAGGCGTATTATAATGGATAGTCGTCGCAGATTAGTAGTAAATAAGTGAATCTTTTGTTCAATCCCAGACACCTTTGAAAAAATAAGTTTTCAAAGTTGTTTTCAGTTCCATCTTGGAACTAAAAAACTTCAAAAATTCAAATAAAAAATGCAATATAAAAAAGTTTTGTGGCTCGTTTTCATTTTCAGATAAAAAACTGTTTTCTAATATGTTATTTTGCCTATGAATATCGGACAAATCTAAAACCTTGTCTTTCGTTCATATCGTTACACCACGCACAAAAAAGGATTGAATAAAAAACTACGTTTTTAAGAATTTGGTTTCTATTTCAACATCCGAGTAAGGTCAGTGAGCCAAGAGCAAGTATTACGAGCGCTATCGCGGTACCTACACTCAAACATTGGACAAAAACGATTTGAAAGTTTTATCTTTATAATTTTTGAGTTTAGAAACCGAGAAAAACAAAAATTTTAAAAATTACCTGTTTGTTTTAAAAAGTTTGTACTTCAATTTTTTGTGATACGTGTACAACAAGCTGCCATTTTATTGACTTTTCTGATTTTCCAAAATTCCTGTAGTCCTGATAGGAAAATACATTGGGTAGCCATTCTTTTAAATCTAACAGATAAACTGTATAACGAGATCTGCTCTAATAAGGTTCTAGTACTTACACCTTATTATTACAGAAAAAAATCAAACTAAAAATCATTGAAAAAGAAAGTGAGCATATAAAAAACGTGTGACAAGAGGAAGTTTCAAAAGGTTTGATTGAATTGTGACCGGAAGTCATCTAAAGACGCAGCTAGGAAGTTTAAATTTTATATAGAATCTAAGTTCGCAAAGGTGAAATACGTCAACACATCTGCAGCTGTAGAAAGAGATAAAAACTTAATGATATTTGCAATTTTTTTTAGTTCTGTGGTGACTTGAAACATTTCAAATCCTAGACAATGTATCATCTAATTTCATCATAAATTCGAATTCTTACCTTTACAACTCAAATATTTAGTAAGACATCTTTCTTCGAATCGACTAAATTTATACCAAGAATTAAATTCAAGGTGCTAAAACTAAAATTAAGATGCTTGAGGGCAAACATCATAGATTACGAGTTACGTGTATTTTGGTTCTTAAGAAAAACTCAGCCAAAAATTTTTCAAACCGGCTCTTAAGGCGCATTTTGAAAGGGGAACAGCCAACCAAGCAAAAAAACTTCAAATTTGAATTCAAAATAAAAAGTTTTAGAAACAATCTTAAATCAAGTGTTCTTGATATAAATTGGCTCACCAACATAAATTATACGTTGTTCGGAGATCAAATTTGCTCAGAAAAACATGTTTTATGTTAACCGTGGAGTTCGAGTTTTGCCTTAATTTTTGAATTTTTCCGAATATTTGCACTAGTAAAGCTGTTTTTGAATTTTTTCATCATTTTCTAATTTTGTATGGTTGATCTGATATTCCCCTCAAAATTAGTATATATTGGCGCCGGAGTCGCCTTTAGAAAAGTTTTAGGGTTAGTCAGGCAAAAATGGATATCTCAAATGATTACAAAGGGGGACCCTTTGGGTCGTTGAGGTACCGAATCTTTGAAAAGCCCCCCCCGGACATCCGCTACTGGTTGATCTATCGGATGTTCAGCAACGGTTGAAATTAGGTATTCAAACTTTTTATTTTTTAGGCTTTTTTTTCTACTGTTTATGAATCAATTAAATCTTAATTAAATGATTTTAGGTAAACTTCACTGTCCAATGGACATTTGTGGGCCCATGTTTGAAGAGGAGCTGACCTTCTGGGGCATAGATGAGAGACAGATAGAGCCATGCTGCTGGAGCAACTACACTCGACACAGGGACGCCAGGGCCACCATAGCCGCATTCGAGGGTAAGAAAACGCTACCAGCATACTGCCTTCACACAACTCCCCTCTCTCCCAATCAAAATACAATCTTTTACGATGGTTTGTTACCGGTAATGTTTCGTAAAAGTTCATATATATTTCGTTGTTTCCGATATATTATTGTTTTTGCATTTCTAGGCAAGGACCACTTGAGTTCGTCGGAGCAGAGTGACTCGGACGTGGCTGAGAAGTTCGGCATAGCGGAGGAGAAGAAGGCGGAGAAGAGCTGGTGGAAAAGTGTGCAGCCTCAAATGTGGACTCTGTTAGATGACCCCTACTCGTCACCGCACGCAAAGGTCAAATTTAGTGCCCAATTGAAAATTGTTTCGGACACCTTCATATATGAAAAAAAATCATTCAAAAAAGAAATTTATCTCTAATAATAATCCTAGTCATTTTTTATTTTGTCAGACAAAAAAGTTTATTTTTCATAACAAACAGTGTAACGTGCCAAATCTAATGAGCTACAACAACCTTTGGCTTTCAGAAGACGCCTTCAAGGCCTTCAAAATTGCTTACACGTCTGCAGTATCAATAAAACTTACATTGAGAACATTTATCTCCTGGAGAAAAAAACAAGCATTGAAGTTTTTGCGCTTTTTCTGGGCTAGAAAAAACTCTGATGCAAATTACTTGTTCTAGTTGATTTCAATGGCATGAATTAGAATTACCAAAAACCCTTAACTTAGATCTTAAAAAATTTCAAACCGCAAAATGCTTCAAGATGGGATGGGTTATTTCCATGTGATAAAAATTCGAATCGCTTTATTGTGTTTTCAAATATAAATAAGAATAACCGGTTGCTGTGGCAACCACGGTAGTTAATGCAAACAATATAAAAACTGCTCTTTTTTTTACAAAGTTGATTCCTGTTTTTTTTTACAGAGTTGGATTGAAGTTAAGCTCCTAGTGATATAATAATTTGTTAAAATACATAAAGAGTGATACAATAATTTGTTAAAATACATAAAGCCGACTTAAAAACAAATCTGTTCTCCTCTGAAAATCAGTCAAAAGAAAAAAAATTTCTCGACTGATTTTTCTGATAGAATGGTATTATGATGTCACAGCCGACGACCTACAAATTTTTTTGAAGTACTTGAAATCACTTAAAACACATCTATTTACGTTTGACTAAAACGTTTTCTAAAATGAAGACTATAAAATATTTTTCACCAATAATTGAAACCGGACAGCTAAGCAAACCCGCTACTACTAAAAACTATATAAAAGTTTTTCAATTTTGCGCAGATTTTTTTTATCCTGCAAAATGTTTTGGCAAACAATTAACAAGTGCTCGAACCCTGGATCATGGCTCTGTTTGTTCTTCAGGTGCTCACAGGTGTGACCATGGCCCTGATCATTCTGTCTATAGTGGGCTTCTGTCTCGAGACACACCCCTATGTCAGATCACTCACATTCAACATATTTCCCCACACGAATTCAATTCCCGCAAATACTACTGAAAATTCTTTCACATCCTTAGAGCCGCCAATAGCCTCAACTCTTTTTCCATCAGGCGCGATAGATTCCAGTACAAGATTTTAAAAGCAAATACTTATACTAACTCAAAAAACCTCTTAAAAAAATGGAGTTATATTGGTTAGTAGTTTCTCATTAAATACGCCGTTATTTATGAGACGGAGGCCACGTGATCGATTCCCGCTATCAAATAAAATAATTAGCATAACAAGTGTGATTTTTGTTCATATCTATCGCGCCTTCAGACAACCCTCTAGACTCGTTTCAAAACAATACTGACAAAATTTTGCAGCATCTGCTGCCCTTATCAAGTGATGGCGTTAACAGTGACCAAATATTAGTTCGTATGTCTTCCATTCTGACCATAAATGACCATATATGCTCTGTATGGTTTTCGATCGAGTTGCTGTTCCGTATTGTGTTTTGTCCGAACAAGAGGCAGTTTCTGAGGACGTGGCTGAACATTGTGGATCTTCTGGCTGTGATTCCTTTCTACATTCAAACTGTGTTCCATTTGCTCTCCATTGACAAGTCACAAAATTTTCTCAGGTTAGAAATTTGAAATGTGTTTTCCGGGGGTCATCTACGGGTTACTTTTTCAGAGCTTCAAGCAAATTAATGAATGGTTTTCACCCCAACTTTTGACCTCTATACTCTTTATGTCAACCTAATGAAAATATTATAAGTTTCGAAGCTTCAGTTCATATTATACTTCCGCTCAAACTGGTCGTAACTTCGAAAAGAGCATGAGAATCCAAATGGAAAGTGTTCATATAGGAGTTAATTTGAAATCCAATTTGTACAAAAAGAACCGAAGGCCAATCAAACTGGCCCTAGCTTCTTTTCTCACCTGCAGATGCTACCTTTTATAATTGATAACGATTTCTAACAACTAGGTCAATTCTGCAGGCACAAACACCTGATGATGTAGAACTGCTGTAATAAATCAACGTCAGAAAGTACAACTTTATGGTAGCAATTGTTGTGGGCTATATTTGTGGCTAGATCATAAAGTCAGTAAAAATTAATAGAGTTCGGATTCAGGGGAGCAGATGCTCTCAAAATTGAGAAAAATTTATAATTAGTAAAGATTGTGCTAGAATCTAAATATTCTTTAAATATTGTTTCGAAACAGGTCAATTATGAAATCAATTGAAATTTTTGAGTTTTTTTTTTCGTTCCGAAAATCGCAATTGAAAAAATGGATGCATCATATAGATAACTAGGAACAAATTAGGGACAACACAAACACATAGTAAAAGCCCCCGCAAAAAAAACTCCTCCGTTCCACAGAAAAAATCTCTCATCTATGGAGTCTGCCTAAAGTCAAAATAAAAAACGCCGGTGGACTGCGGATCTACATTGAAAGGAGAAGTGAGACACACAGAAACACAAACATCTTCAGCTGCATAATTTGCAACCGCACATTTAAAACCGAACCAAGCATGAAAAACCACACGAACGCATGTACAATAGAAAACGCAATTGAAACAACCGGGCAACGCAAAATTTGTGGGTCGACAACATCAGCATCGAACTTTGCACGCCACAGAAAGAGCTGCTCTGACCTGACCTTACACGTTCCTTCAAAATTCCAGCCAGGACATGAAAGCAAATATATCCCTTTCCCGAAATTTGAGCAACCGATGGCAGTAACCAATAAGTCGCGCCACAGCGAGCCTGCAGAGGAGCATCCGACATGAGTGGGTAACCCTAGCTGAGGGGTGAAAGCTGTAAAAGAAAAAAAGTACCATAAAACTACCCTCTTTAATAGGATGAACCCTATTTTTGACAGGCCTAACCCAAAAACTGCGTTTGTTTGGTAAAAAAACGGATTCTGATTTGAAGAGTAAGGGTAAACGCACGTTAGAATGAGCGCATTTTTGGTCAGCGCAATATAAACAACGGAACAATTGTTTAAGTTCGCTTAACATGAAATGTGTTCTGCTTAGGTTTATTGAAATCACGAAGATTCTGCGTATCATGCGGGTGTTCAAACTAGTGAGACACTTCATAGGACTGAAGGTGCTAGTTCACACCATCAGAGCCAGTGCCAAGGGAAGAAAATAAATAACTATCTCAAACAGACATACTTGATGAAACAAAAACAGACATCTATATAACATCCCCTAATAGACCAAGTTAAGATCCTCCACCCAGCGCTTAAATTAGATTAAATTTGCTAAGCGCTGCATGTAAAATGCTCGATTCTGATTGGCTGAAAATTCCCAACTTAGAACCAAGTTAACATCCTCCCCCCTAAACGTGTTTAGGGGGGAGGATGTTAACTTGGTCCCAAAAACAGATTTCTATATAACATAGATAATATTGAAGAAGAAAATAGGTGCGTTTTGGGTTCAAAAACTCAAGAATCATGCAATGAAATGGAAAACGTGATTCACTTGCCTAAAACAAAATATGTGAAAAATCAATCTCAATTGTTTACTATGTTTGTGCGTTTCTTAATAGCAAACGCTACCGTGTTGTAACCATTATCTAGAAAAACAATTTCAAGTTCAGTTTTATGCCATTCATGAATCAAAGTCTAAAGGATATTAGGTATCCATAATCTGCTAATTGGTTTGATTTTTAAGTGGCCACTCAAGTATGTCTGTTTTGGATTTGACGTGTTAGGAACTCCTTCTGCTGATCGTGTTTCTGGTCATGGGGGTGATAGTATTCTCCAGCTTGATGTTCTACGCCGAAACATTCGGTCATATGACCTCTGACGTGCCCCCACCCAATGAGTTTGACACCATCCCAGCTGGGTTCTGGTGGGCACTGGTCACCATGACAACCATCGGTTAGTCGGAATGCATTTTTCTGAATAGAGTTTTGAAAAAATAACTTAGGGCTGCAGGAAATCTTTAGCAGCAGCTGCTGAGCTCATAATAAAAGGCTGATTAATTCATATTTTTAATTTTATATGAGACAATTTTTGAAACAATTTTATTGGGCTTGTCACGAAAACTTCTATAAGATATACTATTTCTCCGTCTTCTAGACTTTTAGTGTCAATAAAATTGTCGTTTCTTTCAACAATCAATGAAGTTTTTTTCAAACATCCAAATAACATTAAAAAATGAAAGCTTAATTGTTCATTTTCTCTGAGGTTAGCGCATTTCCTCGTCGCTCCGAAGATCTGAAATCATATAAAACCAGATAAAATTGAGTTCACGATTCTTCTTTGACCTTAACGTACACTTTGACATCTGCCGACCCGTTGTCTAATTGTGATTCTCTGAACAGTCGCACGTGTTCTGTGTGACAGTGTGCATCCAGATGTTTCTGGCTCTCCCAAGTTTCAATCATGGCATAGCAATCCTCTTCCTCCTTGCCTGTTTCTTTATACAACTGGTAGTGCAAACAGCCATCCTCCTTCTGAAAAAATCAGAAATCAGAACTTCAAATTGAATTTGCCCTGAAAGGCGTGAATTCGGCTTGACTTAATCTTGAGCTAGCATTAAAACTCTTATAAAAAGGAAAATTAATACTCAATAAACAAGTTTTCCTGCAAATGAAACGTTTGATGGTCCATCTACTATTTGGATTATCTAAACACAATATTCTGTCCTGCTTTCGACGAAGCTATAATGTTTTTTTTTACCAGAATTTTAGACCATTTACAGTAATTTTCAGAGCAGTTTCATGCAAAACGCTTTGTGTGCATAAAAATAAATAATTTTATAAATTTACATGGTTTTGATGTTTTTAACTTATTAATTTTATGGTTTTTTTTTATTTTAACAACCGGGAATTTTGTCCAGTACTGAAGAACTTAAAGTTTGATTTTTATTTAAAACAAACGTTACGAGGGCAATTTGTGCACTGGATAGGCGCACAATTTGGTGTCTGTATGATCCTCGATTCCAGCGACAAGTCTTCAAATATGTTAAAATTTTCTTGGAACGATCAAAGAAAATGAAAGAACAAAATATGATAAAAGGCAGCGTCCTTGTTGCGGAATTCGCTTACAATTCACAAAACGCACAGTTTGGCCTCGCAATGAAAAAATGAAACTTTTTAACGAAGTTTGCGAAGGTTATGTACTTAACCGGTATGTTGTTGACATTGCCTTAATTTTTTTTTGATAAAAGTTTCTTGACTCATTTATTTTACCAAGAATTCGGATCGAGCTAATTTCAAAAATTTCATTTTTGAAAAGATAAAATTCCATATTTGAAAAGAAAAAAATTCCTAATGAGTAGAAAAAGAGTACAGTGTAGAAAAAGTAAAAACAAATTTTTTTGGAGGGGATGCTATAAAGACTTTATAGCAATATTTTTGCACAATTTAATCAACTTAACATAGCCCACATAGCCCAAGTTCACATTTTGGTCACCTTCAAGTTTTGTAAATGCTACTTATACTTTAAACAAATAGCTAATTGGCATGAAAACCTACAAAGCTATAAACGCGAAGCAAAACTTTAAATTCACTGTTTAAAATTAAATTAAAACAAGTATGCGGGTATTAAACGGTAGCGCTGATAGTTATTCCGGTGAAGCAAAGGACGAAAAATTTTCATAATTTTCAAACAAGATAGTAAAAAGGTTCTTTTTTTTTCGTTTTAAAATTTTCCTCCACGCCCAAAATTCCAATCCAATTTCAAGCCTCAATAATCAATTATTTTATTGTTTTAATACCAAATAACAATAATTGAGAGAAAGTTTATTATAATCAATTAATAACTGATATTAATTTCTCTCTTTGAAAACAAAATTTATGCAATTAGATTACATTTTTTGATCGTTTAAAAAACTAATGTAAGTTGATCTTGCTATATAACTCAAATTTTGCTACTAGAAAATGTTATTCTAAATTTCAAATTTGAACATATTAGAGCATAATAATTTATTCTAAAATTCAAATTTAAATATATATATTATCTAGGATCAATTTAACATCCTCCTCCCCCCTCCCCCCAAATAGACCCAGTTGAGATCATCCGCCCCAGGGTTCGTTTTAGTTTACATCTACTAAGCGCTGCATGTAAAGTGCTCTATTCTGATTGAAAAATAATTCGAACTCAGAACTCAGAACCAAGTTAACATCTCCCCCCTAAAATCGGGAGGGGGGAGGATGTTAACTTGGTCCTATATATATATATATATATATATATATATATATATATATATATATATATATATATATATATATTCGGTTGTCAACCAAAAATGTAGTTTTTTCTAAGCAAAAAGCCAGTAAAATGCAACATACGAACGCACTGTTTAAGAGTTATGCGCAACCTTTTTGAGATGTACTTTTTTTAAAATTGTTTGGGTAATATAAAAAGACTCACTTTAAATTTAATTTCTAAACCTTGAATCCAGTAGTTTTAGCGCAATTCTTCATTGTCTAAACAAAACCAAAATAGATCCTTTATGGGGTAAAATTTCAGATCAGTTTTTGCTAATCAATTATCTCATATCAGTTTTAGTCAGATTTTACGCAACTTCTTTTTTCATTATTATTTGTCTAGCGCAAACTCAATTGAAGAAAAACGTTTTTGAGTCACGGTATTTTGCATCAAGGGGTGCATCAACTTTCACCTTTCTGGTCTCACTTATAATGCATCAAATAACTTTGGAATTAAACTTGAAGTTCACCGCCGCTAATTGCGTAGGGGGCGTTCAACAGTGCCGAAGTACAACATAGCCGAAACAGGCGGTAAAATTTCAGAATAATTTGAACGCATTTTCTAAAGAGCGAGAAATTACTGACGTTAATTATCAAAAAAAATCACTCCAATTTTGGCGCCAAAATGTCTGCAACTGCAAATTAAACAATTATTTGGGGCCAAAACGTTTAAATTGCAAATGTTCTCTCCCAAAGTCTTTAAGTGCCACTTAAGATTGCAAACGTTTGCCGTTTAATTTTTGGTTGCCTCACTTAATATGTTTAAAGTTGTTCATATTTTCGGCACTGTTGAACAAAGTTTTCATTTTCGGCACCCTTGAACTTATTTATTTTCGGCACTGCTGTACTGCCCCATTGCGTGCTGTGGTAATACAAGATTCATATTTTAGATAGAATCAATAAACTAAACGTTTTAAGCAGAGATGTAACCGAAATTGATTTTGCCAGTTTTTCTAAACCGGAAACTCCGAAGTTTTCAATAGCAGGGTTAAGGATTCCAGAACTGATGAGTAACTGCTTTACGTTGGCTAGCTTGTTTCACTGTGCTTTGGGCAGCAACCTCATTTCCTTTAAACGGTGTAGGTTGACTACGGCATTATAGGAAAAAGTGGTTTTGCCTATGATAACATTCCACTTTTGAATCAATAATTCAAGTATTTGATGAATAATTTTTTGTTCAGAGATAGTAAAATTGTACCTGAAATTCCGAAATTTTCAGTAAACCGATACTCTAATTTTAAGCCTTAGCAAGCAAAAGGCCATGCTCCAGCGTTTGTGAGACCTTAATAAAAATGCCTCAAAGAACTAGTATTTCTGGCACACATTACGTAGTGGGAAAGAATATTTTGCTAAATGCTGCTTCGGTTGATAATTTGTTCTGTTGCACCGTTTCAATCTTAAACCATTTTGCTATGAAAAACCTCCAGCTTCAATGAAACGCTGTAAAAAACTAAAATATAGTTAATATGACATATTTAAACTGATAAAAACTCTGAGCCACCCCTCCCTTATCATTTAGGTACTTATGTTTGCTTTGCAGTTGTAACTGTGATCGGAACATTCGAATGTTCTGGCCCAATGAACGGCTGTTCTTGCTGTCCGATATTTTTAGTGAGATAAGTTGAGCCTAATTTATTTGGAAAAAACTGAGGGCGCGATTTAAAAAAAGACGGACAGCGCGACTTCAACCCGAAGCGCGACTAGGACATTCAGTCTAAAAATGGTATGCGGCTCAACCTTGTCCGGGTAATCATTAATTTGCCAGTTATCTATGAAAAATAAGCGAACCTGAGTAGCTTCTACTATCTTCCGGGCCTCTGGAAGAAACTTGGAGACATCTTTGACAGTGAAAACAGCGTGTACTCTCACTTCTCCCATCACCGCTGGTTAAAAATCAGTTAACAGTTTAATAACAAACTTCAACTGTGGTAAGAAGTTAGTAAATGGTGACAAGTTGTTACTTGTGGAGTTCCAACGCTATCTCCGATAGTATTAACTTGGTTACGCTCTTGAGCAAACAATGAACTTCAAACTTATCACCTTTGTCATATTGACTCAGTCATAATTATACAATTTTTCTATTTTATATTTTGATCAAACGACACCTTCAAGTGTGCTAACGAGGTGTCTGAAGTTTCTCGGAGAGTTCGTGAATTCTCATTTAAAAAACGACGAATAAATAGTTTTATGCCCACCGGAGACAAGGAAAGTCCTTGGATTTGCCATTTTTTCGATAATTTAGATATGCGATGTTTCTTGATAATTTTTTCTCGCTCATGAGTTTCACCAAAACTCTCGTTCGAAGGGACAAACATTTTGCATTATACTATTGTTTTTTCAAAAAATTAGACTCAAAAATTTGTCATTGCCCCTCAAAAAAAACAAAAAAACAAAAATTCACTTGTGACAGTTGTCAGTTTCGACATTCCGTAATTTGCTTGGTTTCCGATTGCGAATCTATAGCGCTTGCTATGCGGATGTTGATTTCTGTCGTGTTATCTTAGTAAAGTTCTGTCGTGTTATCTTAGTTATCTCTCGTTCGAAGGGACAAACATTTTGCACTATACTATTGTTTTTGAAAAAATTAGACTCAAAAATTTGTCATTGCCCCTCAAAAAAAAACAAAAAAAAACAAAAATTCACTTGTGACAGTTGTCAGTTTCG